TAATATATGGGTTGTGACCTACTCATATGTTTTTATAGTAAATTTAAGTATTGAACTGGTATCGAAGTGGTATCGAATTGGTATCGTTAGGAGCCCTAATCACTGGTACACAGGCTCTACAAAATATTTTCTTATAATGTTTTCTGGCTTCAACATCTAATATAAAATTATTATTCAGATCCATACACCATGCAAAAAAGGCAATAAATACTATGCAAATGCTTGAAGCAGACAAAAATACTCATGACTGCTAAAATATATTAATGTGTATTTTTAATAGTAACAAATTCAATTTGGTCAATATGTTAATAAGAAATAGCAAATTGATTTTATGGTGTACGAAACTTACCAAGCTGGAACAGACAACATTAAGTGACAAAGTATTGAATATAAAATTGCGAGCAAGGATTTAAATAGATTCTTAAAAGAACTTGTAAGGAATGATGTGGTTGAGAGCGCAATAGAAATAGATGATAAATATATGCCTACACATGATCCAACTTTTGCTTCTGTCAAGGCTACTTTGTCTTCAATAAAGATGGCAATACCTAAAGCTGTAATTAATCTCGAATCGTTAATTTTTATACATAGTAAACATTTAATGTCTAACAAAAAGTATAATATACTAAATGTATTTTATAAGATTTCTAATATATGAAATATGTTATTTATTTTTGAGAGTGCAAATGAATATATTGTACCTGTTGTTATTTGTGGAAGGCCAGATTACAAAAAGTAATTATGATCATGCATTACTATGTTTGTTTAAGAAAATATTACAATACCATCTCAATTCTGATTTTGACAAGTCTGTTCAAGATTTTTGTCTATACAGTTGAAGTTCAGTTTTTTGCCCTCAATATTTATGCGGAGAATAATATTTTGCAATACAGTTCTGACAAAAAAAAGCGATACTCTTGATTTTTTTAAAAATTAAGTAATTAGATCACAAATCCCATTACATTATTGACAAATTTAATTAATAACTGATTATTTTAAAGTCAAAAAAAAATTTGTGCTACTTAATATGACGTATGGTTACTTTGACAGAGAAACGTCTTGTTGTTAAGTCTTTGTGGAAGCAAGGACATAAAAAAGTCAGTGAACTCCAAAAAATAATTCAATATCCAAGAAGAACACTATTCAGATGGGCTGCTCAACTTGTCCAAACAGGTGATCTCAAGCAAAGGCAATGTCCAGGCTGCTCATATCGACTTAATGCAGCACAACGGAAGCATCTTGGCCTAATGGCCACAAGAAAAAATCAGGTGACAAGTTTGGAACTAACAGAAGCACTTAAAAAAACTTACTCAGACCTTACTATTTCTTTATACACAGTATGTGATAATCTTAAAAAACTTAAAGTCTGTGTTCCCCATACAATTCCTTTTTTAACAAAAGCTATGAAGCTTTGTCAGCTTGAATGGACCAAATCACACTTGAGGAGACGATGGAATAATACTATTTTTTTGGACGAGGCAATGTTCCAGATGTTTCATAACACAATACAGATTCGATACAAGTCTGGAAGACCATGACCAAGTCACAGATTGGTTAAGTATCCTTATAAAGTTCACGTCTGGATGGCTTTTTGTGCAAGTGGTACGATAGGGCTTCATACCTTTACAGAAAAGATGAATGGTGAGTGATATCATAACATTTTACAAGAAAATTTGTTCGAACAAGCATATAACAAGCTTGGCAGTGTGTGGATCTTTCAACAGGATAATGATCCAAAGCATACTGCTAAGCTTACGATCACTCTTCTTCATAAACAATGCCCACGGGTTCTCGATTGGCCATCATCATCACCAGATCTACATCCGATTGAGAATTTATGGGCAATAATGAAAAAAAAAGTGAAAAAGGAAGTAAGTATGCTTATTAAAGAAAAAAAAAAGCGACACAGCAAATGTTTATATCTATAATCATGCAGGAATGGCAAAAAATTGATGTCACTATATGTCAAAATTTAGCAAAATCTATGAAGCGACGGTTAGAGTTAGTCATACAAAGCAAGGGCAACACAATTGATTATTAAAAATGATACACTTTATAAGTTATATTTTTAACTAAAATTTTATTAAATTTTAATAAAAATTGATTAAATTATGATTAAATATATAAGTGCCATTTTTTTTTGCCTGAATTGTACATAACTCAAGTCCAGTAAAATGCTAGTAGGGAGGAAACCTGGATATTCTTTGACGAACTAAATACTAATAACATTAGTCTCCTAACGGACCTATTAGATCATCGAATATATCGTGAGAAACGTATTACTGTATCTGAATATTTGCCGTATGCAAAGTAACCTTTTTATATAAAGACTACTCTTCGATCAAATTCTTGATTATGTACAGAAAGACGAAGAAATAATGGTAAAAATACAATCGAAGGAGTTAGATGATCCGGTTCTCTCAATTTATTTGAGAAGTAGAGGAACCATAAAGCGTTAGTTTGCTTAATGTCGAACTTAACTATTGTAGTTCTTTTACGAGTTTGCAAGATCACCCGCTGATTCATAGGGTTTCAAAGTCCCCTCTATAGCTGAAAATTTACCTAGCATAAAAGTTCGTTCATTTATATTGGCATTAGGTCATTGTTATTAGTTAAGATTGTATAAAAAGTCATTACGATTGAATAATTATTTGTACGACTTTCAGTTGTCCTTATAAAATTTTATAATTATATTATAATTTAATAATAATTTTTAAACTATAATAAAGTTTGCCTTCAGATTACAGTAGCGGCCATTCCCAATTGTATAAATCTAAAATCGCCAATAGGCAAGCGCACGGAAATAAGCAAGGTAAAAAAAATAAAAATAAAATATTACCCTGGATTTCTGATCGAAATAAAATATTACAAATTTTTACTTCTTTTACATTAGGCGAATTAGAAGGCACTTTAAAGAAGTTCTTCTGTGATGCGCTAAAATAAGTACAGTACTTCTATATTAGGAAACAAAAACTTTTATACGTGGTTCAGGTAGACCAATATCAGAGATTTTTTTCCTAAAATAAAAGACATGAGGGTGTTTCCCTACCTCGTGTATGCAATACCCCTACGGCATTCGTGCGTCAACTGTGCAGCACCTGTGCGGGCAAACTATAATGATTTATATTATTACTGGCAGATAATGCACTCGCGCTTTATATTTAATATTTATAATAAATTATTTTTATCTACTTCTCTTCGTTCTTGTTTTGTGAGGTAACGTGCTACACGTGCCATAAAAAAATAAAGGTTTGTAAATTAAGTATCACATAATCACGTTAATATTACCCTTCACAGAAAAACCATGCTGAGAATTTTTATATTTTGTATACTCTAAGCATGATTTGCTGTGAAAGAATCCATATAATTTAGTCTAATAAGTTTATGTCAAAGAGACTAAGAGTGATTTGAAAGCCATGAAATATTAATGCGACATTGATGATGAGTTACTTATGCTTACTCCTTGCAAGTAAGTCTATACCTTTGCGAAATTTATCTTATATCTTAACTTTTACCTTTATTTATTGTTGATATATACTTTTATTTTGGGGAACATGGTAAATAGGGGCATCAGATTTAGCTAACGCTCTGACAGTATTTTATTTCCCGCCAACCACCAGTCCTTACACCAAGGCTATTTCAGAGTCTGATAGGTATAATTTCAATAAATGGTAGTTACATTTTCTTATTAACTCATTCATTCATATCTCGTTTTTTTATATACTGACTTTTCCGCGGAAGAGTTCGCCTCCTATCTATCCAGTCACCTGGGAACCAATGTTCCCCTTAAAATTATTCGGCTGTATTTTAACAATTTTTTTATTACTCGCGGTATTAACTACTATTAAGTTGTTGTATCCAATGCCCAGCGTTATACTAAAAAAAAAATAATAACTTGGGCTGCTATGTCACTGATAAATATTTATTTTTCAATGATGCGCGTGTTTTTTAGATATCATCTAACGGTTCTTTGCTTATATCATAATTGTCATGATAATTTCTGGACATAAATTCGAGAATAATCTCTCAGAATGGCCAGACCAGCTATATTGCAGCATTTATATGTAGAATAAAATACAGTACTGAGTATAATTAAATAAAGGATTCCACATGCCCTGAAGACCTTTGTAACGTGATTGCAGAATTTTCATAATCACATTCTTGAAGATTGGATATATCAAATATATTTATTGAATACAGTAGATATCATCTGTGTATACTTGTTTATTAAACTAGAAATAGGAACTGTTGGTGCCGAGGCATTATTTTAAACTAAAATTTAATATTTCAATTATTAAATATATTTTATATATTATATACGGCTTACTACTATATATTTATTGTTTTAATTAATTTTTTAAACTTATTGCTTTAATCAAATTTAATTATATGATTAGAAATATTATAATTTAAAAATATATAATATTATTTATTTATTTTTATAAATCTAAAAATCACCGGATATTAGAAAATACAGAAGCTCCCACTTTTCTGCTCGTTATCTCCCTTCAAGTCCTACGCTTTGCTTAGGACAATAAATAGGATTTTGATTAACACTATTATAACAAAGTTGTCTTAAGGCTTGATTGATCCATGTTGGTTTTTTTAATCAAGCATTAGAGTTTCGACCAACCTTAAAAATGTTGCTTATAAATTGATACAAATACTTGAAATGACCGATTATCAGGTCAAACGGGTCCGACCAGATTTTTTACCTGTAAATTTCGGGTTGAGATCGGGCGCGAACTTCAGGTTGACCTGACCCGTTTGGAACACTTGTGAAACGTCACCTTTCAACGATAGGCGACAGATTCAATACTGTACAGAACTGTACTGTAATTTCATCCACAATTTGTATTACATGATTAATTATTTATGGTAATAATTGTACGCACTGGGTATTTTTCTCTCTTCGATATCTTGAATTTAGAAAATGAAAGGGAGACTTTACAAAAGATTATCCTGTGACTTCGGAAAAATTCTTGAAGATGGTGACAGATATGATGTCGTTATTGAAGTTGGTGAATTGCCCATAAACCAATCCTACAATGTTCATTCAATCATTTTGCGTCATCGCTGCCCCTCTCTTTATAAAGAATTAAATGAAATTTCACTAGACACGAGTGATGTTAAAACTATTTATAAGCCACATATCTCTACCAAGGCATTTACTATTATTATTAAGTAAGCTATTATACTTCTCATAACAAGACGAACGGTGCATGAACTAACTTGACAATTTTCGTGGTATAGGTATATATATTGTGGCAAGGTTTGCTTAAAAGGAGAGGAAACGTCTACAGTTGCTGACATTCTAAATGCTGCGTACGAATTTTCCCTTGAAGAGTTGGTTTTATATATTCAGAATTTTCTTGTTAAAAGCCGTGCACCGTGGTTACGCCTTAATTTTTCAAAATTCAACTATCTGAATTTTCAAGATGACATATTTAAAAAGTTTCGAGAATTCTATAATATTAATATCGTAAAGTATCCTAAAATGGGTTTTGATTCTGAGGAACACACCTCATTATCAAAAAATGACTTGATATCACTTCTTAAAGGAGACGATCTGCAAATAGAAGAAGTAAAGATTTGGAGGCACATCATTCAATGGGGGAAGGCACAAAATCGAGACCTGCCAGTCTCTATCGATGAATGGAATGATAAACATTTTGAGACTTTAAAGAACTCAGTTAAAGAACTTCTTCCTCATATAAGGTATTTTCAGATTCCCGGAGAAAATATCATAAAGGATTTAAAACCATATGAAAAAATCCTACCTCCTAGTCTTTTAGATGATTTAGCACAAAAAATTATAGCACCACAATTATCCGTTTCTTCAACAATACTACCAACTCGAGATCTTACTATCTTGGAATTGTCTGTACGAGAAGATGCTATAACGTCAAATGTTATTACTCAGGAACACGCTGCCCAAATCTCTTCCTGGATAGATAGAGCCACTTATAGCGTTGAGAGTAACCCATATAAGTTCAATTTATTGATTCGGGGAAGTAAAGATGGATTTGAATATAGTACATTTTGGGAGAAGTGCAATAAAATGAAAAGCCTGGTGGTAGTATTGGAAGTTGAAAAAACCGGTGAAATTTTAGGAGGGTATAATCCTATAGGATGGAATGAAAAGATTCAATCGTATTCGAGCGATACCAATTCTTTTATATTTTCACTAAAAACAGAAAATACAAGTCAATCAATTGTTAGTCGAGTTAAAAATTTTCAGAGAGCAATTAAAAACTTCCATCACGAACAAGGTGGCCCAGCATTCGGTTCACTTGATTTTCAACTGGAAGGAAACTTTAAAACAGGAAAAAGCGGCTATTGTTTAAGATACGATTATGAAACCCCGATTAGAAGCGAAAGAAGTTTCTCCGTAAAGGATTATGAAGTTTTTCAAGTCAGACTGTGCAACAAAAAATGAATAAAAATAGATTTCATTATGTTCTTTTCCCAAGCAAGCATTAATTCATATCGTGATTTGTTGAAAATATTGAAGTTTTATATAAGTTAATATTTCAACAAAGAAGATTTTATGGCATATTATTGTAACTTCTCTACGTGATCATTACGTAATTACTTTTAAATTGTAACTGCTGGCATCGAATTTTCTTACAACTTAATTCATCAAAAACTTTTCTTGTCAGTATTCCTAATTTATACTTGGTAATCACATTTACACACGCAATTTTATCGTTGAAGTTTTTTGGCATATATACATATATCATATATCTCGTTAGTAAATCTTTAAGAAGACAATTAAAATGATTATAGATCTGTGACCGATCGCCACATGATTTATTAGTATGTCCATCAATTTATGACCATTAGAACATCTTATATGAAATTTAAATTTATTAAAAAAAAATAATGAAATAATTTCTACTTAAATAATAACTTTCCTAATTATAGTATGTTACATTTTACTTTATTATATAAGAAGATTATAAATCTTTTATTTTTTTAACTTATAACTTATTTTTTTTTAAATGACTGGCATACACCATGTTTTATTAGATGAAATTTTATGGTACATGTGTTTTTCCCTTTATGGAAATTGACTACTACCTTTCTACTTAATAAAACTACCTAGAGAAAATTCTTCTAACTTTACCCACTGGTTGGCTTATTGCCCTTCATTCTTCTATATTATCAACACCAAAGCTCTGATAGCATAGGTGATAAGCTAATGTGTCAGAATATATGCCTTCTAGTTCTATCTGCCATCTGATAAATTGAAACTTGAAGAATCATATCCTAATATGATCAGCCACAAACTAGCTATATTCAACAAGAAGTCTTTGTGGTTCTAGCTAGGTCTCTTGAAAAATCAAGGTTTTCTTTTATAGTCTTGTAAACTTAAGGAATAAGGCAATGTACTTTATGCATATGAATTGGAGAAAAACATCTTTACTGAAACCTATCAAATTCTGACAACCTGGTCACGTGATCGTCGCGATTTTGTGACTGAATCGTGGAGATTCA